CCTCGCATGGCATATTTGTATTCATGAGTAACCGCCTAACACGCTAGACTTCATCTGCGTCAGACTTACATGACATTTTTACATAATATCACAATAATCTATACATTCTATACATATAAATACCAAAAATTTTTGGTTTATAATTATTAACATTAAGATTTTGTAAAACATTAGAATAATATACCGTATTATTTTACACTTGCAATATAATAATAAATACCTACACATAAATAAAAATGGAGTGTCTGTTTGTTTTATAATTTTTATCTGAATCTGTCTGTCATATTTTACTATTTGTTCCGGCTATTTTCTGAAATGGCTGGACCGATTTTGACGAGACTTTTTTTGGCGGGTATCTGATGTAATAAGGAGTAACTAAGGCTACTTTTATTTTAGAAAAATAAAGTTATATTCCACGCGGACGAAGTCGTGTGAACAGCTAGTAATAATATAATAATCTCAAGACAATTCACACAGCGCCATCTAGATCCAAGTTACACTAGCTAAAACTTATGTTGTAGGCACTAGATACAAATACATAGATTTTTTTCTCTAAATACATATTATACATAGAAAACACTCAGACCGATACAAACAGTCATACTCATGACTACTAATGTCTGTGCCGTGCAAGGAATCGAACCTGCGACCATCGGACGTTACACCACCGCTACACCACCGAGGTCGTCAAACAATAATTGTCATTATTAGTTATTGTGCAATAGCCTTGGCAGGAAGGTCATTGACACTAAAAAAATACATGATATATATACAGAGTTGATAAAACCGATATGACCGATACCGAAATCTGATTGATAGCTGTTTTTTTATGTAACTAGTATTGCAATAGGGATGGTAGCCACCTGGTGGTAAGTGGTAACCGTCGCTTATAGACTTGAACGGTATTACGGATATCAAATTTCCATCAGGTGAGCCGTTAGTTTGTTTGGCAATACAATTATTTAATATAAAATAAATATGAATAATTTTAATTCAAGTATTAAAAAAAAATACATGTTAGGGTTAAAAAACCGACAGTTACGTTCTTAATGACTAGCTGTGCGCGCGGTTTCACCTGCATGATATTTATAGCCTGTGTTATTCTGAAGTACAAGCTATATTATTGTAAAGTTTCATCAAAATCCGTTCAGTAGTTTTTGCGTGAATGAGCAACAAACATACATCTATCCATCCATACCTACCGACTTACGCATTTACAATATTAGTAAGATAACTTTATAAATACTGATCAGATTTTAATCAAATTTATATTAAACCAGACGTGAAGTAGGTACCTCCTTCAATAAAAAAAAAACAATTATCAAAATCAATAAACATAAAAAACTACAGTCAAATTAAATTCCCCTTTTTTGAAGTCGGTTTAAAAGTGAGTACGTAACAAAATTCGCGAAAAAAATTAAATTGAATCACAGTTTCACAAACATCAAAGCAAAATATGAATATGTATTGATTTATCGGTGTCATTGCCCTGCGAGATATGCTGAGTTGCTATCTTATTTGCAAGATATACCTTGAATTAATTCGACACTCTTATCAACAGAAATCCATAGCGACCTCGCTAGTAGTCATGATAAAATAGAAAAATTATTATCACTTAATACATTTATATTACTTTGCTTAATTCCGCAACCGTTAGGATGTTACCTCGACGGTCTAGTGGTTAGCCAACGTCCGACGGGTTCGATTCCTCGCACGGTGCAAACATTTGTATTTATGAGTATGATTGTTTGTGTCGGTCTGGGTGTTTTATATATATGTATTTACATACGTATTTACAAAAAAAAACATACATACATGCATTTATATCAGTTGTATAGTACCCATAATACAATTTCTGAAAGTTTGTTAGTATGGATATTTTTTTTTCTTATGGATCATAATGGAATGGTGCACTCGCCTGCGCTACCGGTTTACGCTGGAAGTGCACTAGTGGAGGATGATAAGATGAGCAGGAGATCAGGTCAGTTAGCCCATCGTAGTAAATTCACCATGAATTTATCACGATGGTTTCAAGGGGGACCGCGTGGAGGTCAACCTGATATGGTACATTGCTAGCAATGGGATTAGTAGTCCACATTACTAACAATCACTTTCCCCCAACGTTGGATGTTTGTTACTCTTTCCCGCAAAAAGTACTGAACGAATTTTGATGAAAGTTTACAGTAATATAGCTTATACATCAGAATAACATATAAGCTATTAAATTACAGCATCGGCATGACTAGTATGAAATAATTAGCTGACCCGCACAACTTCGTCTGCATCACACTTACTTGACATTTAACATTATATTTCGCACAATTTACATAATATATTTTTAAATTATAGTGTCTATATGTTATTTTTATGTATAAGCTATATTACTGTAAACTTTCATCAAGATTCGTTTAGTAGTTTTTGCGTGATAGAGTAACAAAGTTTCAAGTAGTAGTAACAGAGTTATGTGTTTATAGGTTAGTATGAATAGGACCATTTGTTATAGTATTGTCTCTGTCTATCCCTATAGGAGACGAGTGTGACGTATGTATGTAGGTTACTTGCACGAAATAGAGCAACATTGTTAGAATCAACGAATTCGGGCATCGATGATGAATCATTTGTGACAAATGTTAATGGAAATAATGACGAAATGGCATATTTAGCACGTGGTCAGAAATCAATAGGTCGTTAGCCTGTGAGAGTGAATGGGACGCAGATATGTGGTGTGTCAGTTATCTCTTTCTATCGCAAGGTCGCCGGCTTCCCTGGGTTAATAACATTTTTTTTTATTTGGAAATATATTCTACTTTATGCTTTTAAACTGCATAGAATATATTTCCTTAGTAATATCTTTTTTTAAGTAGTTTGATACATATCTACTGCACACTGAAATCTTGAAACCCTGGTGAAATGTGCTAAAATTTAGCACATTTCAGCACGATTTCACATTAAGTACATTCAGTTTCGTAATAAAAATATTAAAACTAATTTATTTTACACCACGATGGAGGTAATGAAGCATACGGCCCATCTTATAGTAAAATATTACAGTAGTCACGTGATAACGTGATGGCTATAATGCTGTTCATGCATCTGTAGGCGGCAACCAAATGGTCTTACCATCAGGTGTCGCTGTCTGCTTGTTTACCATTCCCATAAAAAAATGGTCCGGAACCAATGCCTACCACAAACTTCGAGTTAAAAAATTTACTATACGTGTAAGTATCTATATGCAGCGACGGTTACCACTTACCATCAGGTAGATCGTCTGCTTGTTTACCATTCGCATAAAAAAATATCCCGAACTAATGTTTACTACAGAGATCAAGTTAAAAAAATTTACTATTTACGTGAAGGTATCTACCACTGCTGTCCGATATGGTGGTGGTGAGATTTCTGATGGATTTCGATAGCCATACAACCTATCACAAAACAATACATTCCGTATATCATAGATAACATTCGTACAGAGCGACTAGCGTCTTCTTTCCTCATACGGACAGTATAGTAGCAGAATTGTCTATATTTTACAATCTATACCATAAGAACAATTCCTTGTGAATTCGCCATAATGGGGCAAGAATATCCCATGAATTTAAGAATTTTTTACCCCTCTGAAAAAAATCCCCTTAGAAAAGTAAGGGGTTTGCTGTTAGCGTTCCACTCTGCCTTTGGCGGCTCAACTGTCCCCTATCGGGAGAAAGGGGATTGTTAGTAATGTGGACTGATGGCCCTATGGTACCATGTCAGATTGACCTCCACGTGGTTCCCCTGGAAACCATCGTAATAAATTCCTTGTGAATTTACCATGATGGGCTATAATCTGACCTCATGCTCATCTTATCATCCTCCACTGGTGCCCCGCCAGCGTAAACCGTTAGCCTAGGCGGGTGCACCATTACATTATCATCCTATGTAGATAGGATGAGGTAAGGTCAATCCACCAGGATTTAACCACGATGTTTTCTAATGGGAACCACGTGGAGACTAACCTAACATAGTCCAGTACTAGTAGTAGGGTCAATGTTCCCGTTAAATACTCCCCTACACGTAGTATATATACTGTAGAAGGACGCAATAGTAATAAATTTTCATTAGGCTATTTTTCATCAATCAATTAACAAGTTTTATTCAAGCGGACGAAGTCGCGCGCACGTCTAGTCGTCTATTAAATTGGAAAAGGTTAATATCCTTGAAGTCGTTTCTGCATTACCTACTTACCGTTCCAACTTCAGGATAAACAAAATCGCCAACTATTTGCGCTGACAACATTTTCCCGAGTCAATGACCTGTTAACACTACGATACAACCGCTCAATCCATAACTAATAGAAACCGCTTGTTATTTTTTATAACGTATGAAATAGCTTTAAATATTATAATTTTCGAAAAAAGAATTCTTTCAAAATGCAGTTGACATAATCAATAAATCATATTTTTAAAATTAGAATCTAGAATAACAGATTGGAATTAGCTTCTAGGTTTTAATTTTAAAAATTCATATTTCGAACGTTCCTGCAAAAGAATCGCGAACCACGAACATCGTAATATTATCATCACCCTGGCGATTCCACATTCAAAACTAGAGTTCAACAGCATTTCACCGAAATCTACTTTGTTTGGGTCCTGGGGTCGATGAACCGTTGTGACGCCGGCTTGGCTGTGTGCGCGCGCCGCTATGTCCGTACACACCAGCGACGTACGCACACAGAGACGAGTCGCCTTGTAGTTGGTGCGGACTATAATGGGCAATTTTCTTAATTAATTACTGTCTTGCCATAGGCATATTTTAATATTTAAGTAATTATATCTACATTTTAGATAGTTTTATATATAAATGTGAAGTTATTTTTTCTTAAATGTTAATATTTTAGGATATATTATTTTCCATTATAGTCCGCATTGCGCCGGGGCGATTGAACTATCACTATGAGCTAAGTTGATTATTCGGTCGGAATGAAAAAATATATAATTTTTTCGTGAACCTCGCCGAAGATTCGTCAATGCGTCAGTCACGTTCGGGCTGCCCTGGCGTCAACATCTCATGACTGCCAGTCGTCGTCGGGAAGCCGAGTTGTGAACAACCATAGTACAAAACATAACGTACAAATTTTTCCAGCAGTGAGGTGAACGCATCTTGTTTTTTTTTAAATAGTGACAGTGCCTTTATAGTGCAGTGACCAGGATTATCATTGGAAAATGGAACGCGGTGGTGTTTAAAACAGAGTTCTAAATTTAAAAAAGCGAATTCGTGCCCGATGTAAATTCGTACAACTGGATTTTAGATAACTGAACACAACAACGTTCGGTTAGCTAAAGTCTTACAAATAAAAAATAAAATAACAAATTGGCATATAAATCTTATTTAACAAATAACTTCTCTTTAAATCAAATAAATTCTTCTTTCTGCTTTGGTTTTCTCTTTACAGATATTTTGTGCTTTGATCAGTAAGAAGATAGAGATTAGTATACGGGAACAAGTGAATAATTACAATAAACCGATAAGTGCCTTATAATGTTTATTTAAGAGGAAACGAAGACAAAATATACAAACAAATCACGGAGACAAAATGCCAAAAAACTTGTTGCTCTTCAAAAAGATAATACCCGAGATCAATTTCGCTAAAAGAAATCTCACATCGCCTCTTGGTCGAAACATATTCATCAGTTAAAAACTGACGAATATAAAAAAATAAAACAAGCTGAAGAAACATCGGGGGAGTGCCATAAAGTTTTTTCAAAATTCTTAATGGTGATAATAATATAACAAAACACAAAAAAACGTTGCCTTAACACCGACTTAGTCGATAAAACAACAATACAAAACGTCAAAACGTATAAAACATCAAAACACCAAAACGTTCAGTGATACTAGTGTAAAAAGAGACGCAATGCGAATGCAATTCGCGCGTTTGCAAAAATACTGGCCGAAAATAACCTAAAGAAAGCGGTTACGTTGTAAATTTAAGAAAACTTTTTGAAAGTTTCAAATTTCGAATTTCGAAATGAACAACAGTCAGTTCCACGAGTTGTTCGGGTCTCAGTGGCCGCCCGATCAGCATGGGGGCCACTCGTCGGCGTCCACGATGCTGCATCAGGCGCAGTCGCCACTGCCTCAAGGCATGCAGCTGAAGAGAGAGCCCCACACCGATGTTCAGGGTGTGATGCATAACCAGATGGGCATGGACATAACGTCTGGCTCCGTCGCTGACAGCACTTCCCCTCCACCAGGGAGCAGTGAAGGCATGTTTGGATCCTCAATGTCAGGAATGTTCATGGATAAGAAAGCTGCTAATTCCATTAGAGGTATCTATATTTCTTTATTCTTTTTTTAAACGCCGCTGGCAAGTTATGATTTATAAATTGCCAGTAACAATTTTTTTAATATCAGTTATTAAATATAAACTCGATTACATAAAAATTACGTATAGGTATATTTATTTTATTAAAAACGGTTTAGCTATATGTGGACAATCAAAGGAATGTATTCGGCCAGTCTAACTCGAGTGTCATGAAATCGTATAAAAATAATGTTATTGTACTAAACCCTTACTAATATTGTAAATGCAAAAGTAACTGTCTGTCTGTCTGTCTCGCTTATCACGCCAAAACTACTGAACCTATTCAAATGAAATTTGGTACATAGATAGCCTAGATATATAGTCTAGTGAAACATAAGATTGAGAGTACTTTTTATATATATATTGTCGCGATTTTTTTTTAAATATAACTGTCAAAGATTTTTTTATTAACAATGATAGAGTGATGCGTCGTATAGTATAAAGTCATATAAATACTTAATAACAGTTATTATCTACAGCTAAAGTAAATATAAATATCAATCTGTTTGTTTGTATTTAATGCTAAGATATTAATATATATGTATATTTGTATGTGTGTATGTTTGTGCACGCTATCATTATGTAAACTGTGAATGTAGCATTTTTTCTTATTTAATATTGTTAAGTAATCTTTTAAGGTTTCTTGTAGTTAAGTACTATATACATATACATATGTATGACTCATTTATGTGTCTATATATATAACTAGCTACTCGCCCCGGCTCCGCACGGGTGTACATGTATTATATATATAAACCTTCCTCTAGAATCACTCTTATTTATTAAACAAAAACCACTTCAAAATCCGTAGCGTAGTTTTAAAGATTTAAATACATAGGGACGGACAGACAGCGACAGTGACTTTGTTTCATACTATGTAATGATATATAAAATATAACTAGCTCCGATTCATCCCCAGTCCGATTCAAACGGGGATCGAAATTACGACGGCCTGAGCTGAGGTTCGAACCCCTAACGGTGCTCTCAGACTAAAGTCAGGCAGGAGTTAGCCTTCAGCCATCCCATAAGTCCTTCCGCGGGTTTGGAGTGTCATCTGCACTCGCCCCCTATCGTCCGGTGAAGTTGTAAAAGCCAGCTGCGACCAACAGCATTAGAGTAGTTCGATAAAAGTCTTTATGATGCAACTCACCCATCGCAAAAATTAAGGTCCTTTGAGACGTTTAAATTCATACAACACGTTGTTTTGCCTTATAAATTAAAATCGGTATTGAGCTATAGGGGTTGGTGATAGAAGTGTTTTTTTTTTCAATGCTAAATTATAATAAAATAAAAAAAATTATCGAAAATAATGAAAAAAAAAATTTGCCGTGAATCCATCCTTAACATTTAGGGGTTTTTTTTTGTGTATGATAATGGATATATATTGCACCTGCAAACGTTGTTTTGCGCATTTAGGGGGATGAAAAATAACGGTACTACGCGGTGGCGAGGCGAAAACTGTGACACGAGAATTTTATATATAAGTGGAGGATGAATTTTTAATTTCATTCATTTAAGATGAGTAAGAGGTCATGAAAATGTAACAGACAGATATACAGAATGAGTATTTATAGCCCATCGTGATATATACAAATTCATCCGTATAAGATATTCATCACGGTAAATATAAATATCAATCTGTTTGGTTTAATGCTAAGATATTAATATATATGGATGTGTGTAACTATCGCTGTGAATGTGGATTGTTAAGTAATCTTTTAAGTTTTCTTGACTATATACTAACATGTGTACATGGTTTATATATATAAAGCTTCCTCTAGAATCACTATATTTATTAAAAAAAAACCACTTCAAAATCCGCTAGATTTAAATACATAATGGTAATGAGTTACTCAAACGGGGAGTTCCCATTGCTCAACTAAATCCCCTTCTCCCCAACATTTAGGGGTATAAAAATTAGTTCTACACCTATTCTCAGACCTACTGAATATACATATAAAATTTCATCAAACTCGGTCAAGCCGTTTCGGAGAAGTATAAACACGAAATCTGTGACAAGAGAATTTTATATATTAGACTAGCTGTCTCGGCAAACGTTGTTTTGCCTTAAAATAGGAGTGGACTACCCCTACCCATTTAGGGGGATGAAAAATAGATGTTGGCCGATTCTCAGACCTACTCAATACGCTCACAAAATTTCATGAGAATCGGTCAAGCCGTTTCGGAGGAGTATGGGAACGAAAACTGTGACACGAGAATTTTATATATAAGATGTATGTGTATGTAAATGTTTGTTTTTATTCTGTGGAGGAGAAGAATAAAGAATTTTTAATTTCATTAATTTAATTATGAAAATGTAACAGACAGATATACAGAATGAGTTTCGTATTTATAACATTAGTATACCTTTGGTGACCTGAAAACTAAATATCTACTTACAACTACTTATCCGTATCGTCTATTTGTCATGAACCCAATTACATTTAAATGTTTGTGTCCCAAATTATAGTTTTCCACTAATAACGATTTTTTTTCTTTGTTCGGAATTTGTGTTAATTGTCCAAAAATTTGGGTTAGGTAAACGCTTGCAATTAAGTTGCAATATGCCAATGTAATCCGTACCACTCGGAGATAAAGCACAAATTTGTATTGTTGCATTTGGTATTTGCATTTTTGTTCTACATATTTATATTGTTATGTCATTTAAATATTAACTTTATTGTATGTGTAATATAATTCACATTCGATCCATGTGTGATAGACTTAAGTCGTTTTTCAATTGTGTGCGCATTGCACGTGTAGAACGGGGTGAACGCACTTGACACACTGCCTTTGCACTTTGACTTGTGATGATTTTGATGGCATTGTTTGGTATTGTTTGTTGCTATGGGCACTAATACTGGCACAATACAAAAACATACTTAATAATACCTGCATGCGTATATAAGCGTACAGGTAAAAGTAAGTTCTAAATTTGAATTTTGGTTTTTCTTGTTTGGATAGTTATAGTATGTAATATTATGTTATCTGTGGTTATAGTATAATATTTTATCCACAACTTGAATAGCAAAGATATAAATGTATACAGCCTAAACTACTGTTTATTTTTAATTAAATATTCCATATTTACTGGCCAGTTGTATTTTGTCCCTTAACTGTAATTATTTATTTTCTAATTATAAATAGATATATAATAATTAATTTCTAAAATCCCTTTATTTATATATAAACACACATATAAAACATGTAGATCCCTTTGTATAAAACTACAGGCCACTAGGTAATGAACTAAATGACGATTAATTTAACATTTAAAATTAATACAAGAAAATTACTACAGATTAATTAGTTATTGCTTATATTTCATGAGAAACTAATAATGTGGTTATTGTAGGCATTATAAAAGCCACCAGTTGTTTAGCTAAAATAGATATTGTGTTCTGATGTCTAAACTATTGTACTTTATAATATACTAAATGACTGGCCGATACTTATTTTTTTTAAATTTTTTTTTATGAAAAATTTTGTTATTATACTCTTGATCTAGTTTATTAAACTATGTACGCCTTTATTATGTTAAACTCGCCTGTTCTTATGTATTATTTTTAAATTATACATTAAATTAAATCATAAAAAAAATATTACACAAACTATTCTATATTTAAAACACATACATATATAATATATGTACTCTTTTGTTTATTGTTAAACTCTGTGGTTAAATTGAGAATAGATTCATATTGTTTGTCTTTAGTACCTATTATTTGTCTACTGACCTCGTATTTGTCCTATCATCCTCCAATGTAATCCCGCCAGCGTATACCGTTAGCTGAGACGTGTACTATTCCACTATACTCCATTCAAAATTTTATTCTCCCTCTTCAAAGTCGGCTAACATTAAGTCCAAAGATTCCAGTCATGGTTTAAATAAAAAAAACTATTTTCTCTCCTCTTCAAAATTAAAAATACATTCTTGCTCCTCTTCAAAGTCGGCTAACATCAAGTCTACAGCTCCCCGTCAAGGTTTAAATAAAACTTTGACCTTATAGTGTAGTTGTTAAATATTTCGGTGTGAGATGATTGGTTAATTGAGTGAATTAGTTTAGTCGGGTTCAAAAATACCATCAATTCGTTGATGCGTTCATCTCAAGAGGTGTACAGGACATACCTCTTGTAGTCTGTAATACTACAGTAATTTTGATAAAACTGTTCGGCTTACGAACACTGATTAGCCTATTTGCTTTTGCAATAGCATATGCTGGTGGTCACTCTATTCTCTCAAATTCGAATTTAAAAATGAATCTGTATTATTGTAAACATATGCAATATTTATTTGAAAGGAATACGAGCTGAGTTTCGGATACTGAGACGGTAGATTTGACATATCATAAGAGTCTGTAATAGACCTACATGAATATAGATGTTTTGCTAACAGTTTACGCTGGCGGGGCACCAGTAGAGGATGATAAGATGAACATTAGCTAAGGTCAGGTAGCACAACTTGGCGAATGGCAATTTACCACCATGGTTTCCAAGGGGAAGGTTACATGGTGTTACATATGAATGTGGATGGTTATAAGGGCAGAGGAAGGCCGATAAAGAGATGGATGGACTGTGTGAAAGATGATATGGTAAGAAAGGAAGTAAATAACGCGAGAACTGCGAACAGGGATGAATGGGAGAGGAAAACATATTACGACGACCACAAATAAATGGTATAAGGAAGAAGCAGATGATGATGGTGTCCAAGGGGAACCATTGTGGCTAGCAATGTACCATGTCAACCTGACATGGCTAGCAATGTGGTTATTAGTCCACTCTACTAACAAACGTCTTCCCCCCAATATAACAATAGTAGCCCGTCCAGGCTACGCTTGGTGCTTATGTATAACTTTTTTTTTTCACGAAAGCATGACAGCTCAACATAGGTTATCAAGGTGTCACATGAAGATGTGATATCCATGGTATTCTATAGGCAATGCATGGTATTTTCCATTTTGTAGG